CTATAAAACCTCTCAAAACCTCAACATGATCACTAAATGCTTGTTGGTCCAATACATTATGAATCAGGGGTGTGTCATTCTTCCTTTTCTTACACAAAGTCCATTGGCTACATACACTCATTTACCAAATATGCATTCTTGGGTTCAAAGGATCTGTGATTAGATATTGGGAAACTCAATATTTGGAATGCCTGATCACTTATAATGTAGAAAAGTACTGGAGAAAAGGAAACTTCTATATTTCTCAGATTTGTCGGATTATGGAAACTTCTGTCCTTATGTAAATTCACAGGAAACACTAACCTAGGTAGTGGACAGTAGAAAGGACTTTTTGAGAGTCCTTAAAAATGTTATGAATTGGTCGGTAAACGGGTGGTGACAAAATTAAAGGTTGAAGACTTGTTCCTACAGGCTTACAATTTTATTTGGAGGTCATGTGTTTCCAGTGGGATAATTAGCTCTGATTTAGGGAAAAGGTTGACTTCTATGTAGAACATATGCTTTTCAATAACCATCATTTTTTAAAACTTTTTATACATTCTTCTAAGTGGTATAACACTGGTTTGTCCATTTGCTGTACAGAGTTGCTGTGATGCTAAACACTGTGACACTGATGTGTCAAATGTGATAATGGTTACCCCTGGTGGACAGTGTTTGGGGGAGCTCCCTGATTAAAACAGGCTTGGAACCAGAAGTGGCATCCACTTCCAAAATAGCTTGCCTCTGGAAAATTCTATGAATGTGGAGAAACGATGAAAGTTATACAAGTGCCCAGGTCTTTCATTCAGAGGGTCCCTATGAGTTGTCTCCAAATTGACGGCACTTAACAACAATATATTAAAATAATTTCAGATGTATAGAAAAACTACAATGTACAATATATTTTGTGTATCTTTTCTTCAAATTATACATTGTGAATTATCACATCTACTTTTCTACTCTTTGTGTATACATACAAACAAGTACACTAACAGGCATTGTGGGGATCAGTAGGTGTCAATGTGGCTAGGTCATGCTTCTCAGAATTATTTCATTATCCTCCACTTTTTTTTACTGATATAAAGGGAGTTTCCATTGGGGTGTGGCCTGCCTCCAATATAAAAGGGCGTTTTGGGAAAGCTTGATCTCGCGCTCATAATGCATGTGACTTATAGTCAGATTTCTGATTCTTGGGATAGGAGCCAGCAGGCTGCTCTCTCATTAGCCAGTTCTGAGTTTGTCAGCAGCTGCAACCACGTGAGTCAGGGGAGACCACCAGCCTGATGCTTGACTCACAGATTTGAGACTTCACACAACCAACAACTGCATCGACTATTTCCTTGAAATAAATATCTCTCTCCCGCTCCACAAGATACAAATATTTCACCCATTTTGCACCTCTAGAGAACTTAGCCTGAGACATACAAATTTATTTTTACATGAATTCGTTATGATACTGAAATCCCTTTACACCTAAATAGTTCTGTGGGTATAACTAAAAAGATAGTCTTTTACGTGCTCGTAGTACAAAGATTAACAGGTTTAATTCCATTACTTCATATATACACGAGGGAGCTCTGGTGGCAACAAGCTGCACTGCAATCCCAAAGGTACGCAGTTCGAGGCCACCAGCTGCTCTGCAGGAGGATGGACAATCTCCTCTCCTGCGATTAATTGCCTCTGAAAACCTGCCGGGTGGTCAGCTATGGGTCAGTTCCAACTCGACGATGCACAAGAGCAACAGCACATATATACATCATGTCTTTTGCAACCAAAACCAACAATAACAAAGTTGTTTTCCTGGCCAAGGATCCAAAAAAAGGATCAATTGTTGCTTTTCGTTGTCAAGTTCCTTTAGTCTCCTATAATCTGCAATAACGCCTCCATTTTTTCTTGCTTTCATGAGTTTGCCAGTTTTGAAGAACACTGACCATTTACTTTATACAATGTCCCTCAATCTGGATTGTCTGAGGTTCCTTCTATTAGATTCAGGCTGTGAATTTCCTTCGGGGCCCAGATGAGTGTTTCCTTTTCTGTGGTGTAAGATAGCAGGAGACATATGATGCCGATTTTTCCTATTAGCGACCATATTGACTGATCACATATTGAAGTGGTGCCTGCCACGTTTCTCTACTATAAATTTTTCTCTAGTATATATATTTTTTCATTTTTCTTGCTTTGTAGGAGTATCTTACCTACGTTGTGAGTATAGAAACTTTATCAAGTTTTGACTTTTTGCATCCAGTGATGATTTCTGCCTGAAACAATTGCACTGTGATGATTTCCAGGGAGCAGTTATCTAAATCTAGTACTCACTTCATATTAGCCCTCATTCTATTGTAAAGAAGAATTTTCTACTCTCATCATTTATTCCTTCTGTCTACATGGGCTCATGGTTTCTTATTTTACCCTCTGACTTACCCTTTTCTGTATGCATATATTTGGTTTATCCCAGGTTGGCTGTATATTTTAGATGTATTTCCCTCTATCATTCTATGACTATTTCTTTACTTCCTGTCAAAGCAAGATGTTTTAGGCTTAACTTGTTCTCTGTCACAGTATGAGAATTAGTGATTTTTTTAAAAGCCTGATTTATATTAGTAGTTGTCCTTGTTGTAAAGAGCTGTCAAAATGCTATGGACAGCAGAACAAAATACTGGGTCCTGCTCCCGCCTCACAATCCCTCCTGTCACTGTGCCAATTCATCTTCGTCCCCTCTTTCACTGACCATCTACTTTTTCCAAGCATGATGAAATCAACCATTGTCCTAACAAGTTTGACTTTTTTAGTAGTGAATCATATTTAGAATATAAGCTCTGAATGTTAGTCATTCTAACTGCTACTAGGCTGCATTGCTTCTAGGCCCTTTCAAAAGAGAGAGCTAGGAAATATACGTGTGTGTGTGTGTGTGCGCGCGCAAGCATTTATTCCTACATTTATAAATATTACTGTATTTCCATTTCTATATTTATATCAACCTATATGTATATATATATATACATATATATATATATATATATATATATATATGAAAAATAAGACTTCATACTGATGCTTTGAATTCCAATCCAAAACCACAGAAAAGACTGAGTTTTAATTACTGTCTTGAAACCATGCCAAAGCTCACAGGCTTGACGTTTTTAAATTCACCATGCTGCAGAATAAGAGCTAGAAGATATCCCAGAACAGCATAATGCCAGACACTTATCCCTCCACTTACTAATTAAAAATGTACTGAACACTTTTAATGTGCTGCGAATAAGAGAACGAACAAGATTTGGTCCTATTCTCAAGCAGCACAATCTATAAGTAAGATAAAAGAATAAAGCAACAATTATAATGAGGTATAATAAGCTCCAATTATAGGTATGTATAGAATGCTATGGGAACACAGAGATGTACCCAGGCCAACCTGAGCAAACTGGATTATTTCAGAGATGGAAAAAAAACAACACTGCTCCTATTAGCTACAGTTAGATTTCTATTGTGTTCTTTTGTGTACGTGCACAAAACAGAGGCTCTTCTGTTTTTCAGCAAATGTGTATTTTATGGGAGAGTTTTGAGGGTTCTCTGCATTGATAAAATCATCAAAAACTGCTCAGTCATGACAATGCCAATGTGAGTAAGTGCTCAGGGAATCTACTGTAGCTTGTGGGGAAGGTTGGGTTTCACTCTATTAGATTCCTTCCAAAGATCATAAAGGAAGAGAAGGAAGAGAAAAATTTTCAGACATAGTCAAACTGCCCATTATATCATGCTTTGCTTTGTTTTGTTTTTACTTTTCTCCTCCCCTTGAAGTACAAATTAAATAAACTGGCTTATTTGTCATTGTATTGATTGCCACTCTCTCGAGTAATAGAGTGGTTTGTATACACTGATCTTCTCTTATCTAAAAGTAAACTTGCAGTCACTGCAACAGTGAGCTTAAGCAGAGCAGAGAGGCGAGGAGGGAGCAAGATCAGGCAGTTTTATTCTGTTGTTTACAGGATTGCTATGAGTCACAGTCGACTACACAACACCTAACAAAAACCCCAACTAGAGACTTTGGGGGACCACGTATGTGTGTGAAAAAGAGATGTAAGTATGAGAAAAAAAGTTCAAGATACAAAATACTGGTAAAAAAGATGATAGAGAATTTATTACTTTGGATGCTTTATAAAAAAAAATTAAAGTTTGTTTTGTTACAATTTTTCTTTTCTAAAATAAATATGTACGATCTCTCGGATTTTGCTCCCTAACCAGTTTCCCTCAGTACTACATCTGGTAATTCTAATATTTAATTCACCAATTCCTAAACCTGATCTAGAAAGTTGTCCACTGTGCAAGTGAGGACCCTCACTACTGGAGGCTTTCTTCACATGGTTTGCTGTCTTCTATTCCCTTTGCCAACACAATGGTTCCTTAATCCAGCTAACAACATACAAAAAGTGAGATCTGAGATATAAGCATACTTATTTTTTTCTCACGAAGGAGAGTCAATATAACCAAAATATTTATTTACTTGTTAAAATCCCAAATCAAATCCACTGCTATGATGTCAACCCTGACTCATGGTGACCCTTTCATTGGATTTCTGAGGCTGTAAATGTTTATGGGAGGAGACTGCGCATATTTGTCTCATGGAACGGCAGCTGGTAAATTTAAACTGTGGACTTGTTGGTTATTCCACAAGATATATACTTAATAAAATCCTTTTAGCCATGAAATATTCCTGATGAATAAACTTTGAATGTAAGGGCGTTTCATTTTTTTTTTCTTATACTTTTCTTAAACACGGTTGTTTTTGATAAATATCAAGCTGAAATTAGAACGGCTTGAATTCTGGAAGCTGAAGGATGAATGTGTGATCCCTGCTTCTCTGTGGAACAAGGTGAGGGGGGGTCCGGTTTGTGACAGGTCTTTGTGGTGAAGCAGCAGGGGCACCTCTATAAGCACGGGCAATGCACTCTGGTTTGTGTGAGGAATAGCAAGAAAAATTAGGCAGATGGAAGCTTTCACATATATAAGGATTAGAAAGCTTCTTTGATATTGAGACTTTGAAATTATTTTATTAAACATGGTATTAAATTTAAAGGCTCTAATCATCCATAATTACCATGATAAAATATGTATGTGTATGCAAAAATATTCATTGAACATACTTTAAGAGGTATATAATCATATTTTAAAAAACTATACAATGTGAAATAGAATTTGACATAAAAAAATCAACTAATCAGAAGCATGGGAAACAATAAGCTTTAATAAGAGCCTATTGCAGATTCTGGAATAATTGTTGCATGCATGTCTCTAGTCATGTTTGACTTCTCCTTCAGTTTTGACTGGAGTAATGTGTGTTCCACAACACCGATTCTGATGTCCATCTGAACAGTTTCTTGCTTCAGCTTTGTTAAGCTCTGTTTAATCTTCACCAAAGGAGCTGCAGAATGAAAACAGCATGGAATAAAAATGTTCATTTGGGGTATCAGTTATTACAGGATTGTAAGACATTTTCCTCACTTAGTCCTAAGCCAAAAATGTGGTTAAAAACACAGCCAAGAACTTGCTGACATTCACACAGTTTTGCTGTGGCATTTTAAACACCTGAGATTTTTTAGGATGGGAAATGATACAGCATTTGATGTACCAATGCTGAACTTTCTGGGGGAAGGGCTGTTTAAGAGTGTTTAAGTTTGCTTCACTATGGTTTTCGACTATTATATGTTTGTCGGTAGAAAGGGATAAAAAGGAGAAAAAAAATAGGAAGAATTACCTGTGATATTTAGAGAATTAGGAAAAAAATATTGGGAGCATGAAAACCAACACAAACTCTTGAATATACTCTTTTTGATTGATTACGCAAATACACCATTAGAACTCCAAACACCTTTTGAGGGCATAGAATATTTTAGGCAATTACCACTTGGCCATAGCTCCTGATGGAGGATGATTACTGGAGGATTATTAATTCTTCGCTATTTGACCTCTGCCCAGTCAGGACTACTGGGGAGGAGGAAAAACAACAAAGTTCATGACATTGCTGCCTTAGTGCCATTCGGGCATACACTTAGTGCCCTTTTACATATAAAATGAAAAAATGATGCTCATTTCATGAAAATAGAATAAAATATTTTTTAAATTGGCAGAATAAAGTATATCTTTAAAAAAAGTTACTCTATTTAAAAATCAATACAGTTTAAAAACAAGAAATCTAAATGAAAGAAAAAGGTACCATACTTCTCATTCTTAGTTGATCTACAAGAAAAACAATATACTGATTACTGTACATAGTTTTGTACCATGTACCTCACCTAAAAAAAAAATAACATGTAAAAAAAGCAAACTCCCTATTTATCAATACTATTTTTAAAAAAATAGACATCTGAGAACAGTCATTCTTCTCAACTCTGTTTTCTCCTTTAAATGAGTATACTTAGCCACTATGAGAACTATGAAATATTGTATGTTGCTTCTTTTGTTATTGTTGTGTACCATCATGTTAAGACTGATTCATAGCTGACCCTTTAGTGGGTTTGCAGGACAGTATATTGTATGGGAGGAGATGGTGCATCTTTCTCCCAGACAGCAGTTGTTGGATTCAAACCATATGCCTTTGAGTTGGCAGTGAAGGGTCCTAAGCAGAAAGCCTTCAGAAGAAAGTAGGATATAGAAAAACCATTGAATCCAGCTATCTCACCACTATGTGTTTATCCCAAAGAAATACAAAAACCAGACCAAATCAATATATAACACTCATGTTAGCATATAGCAAAGAGAGGAAAGTGCCCAGAGGCAGATGTATGGATAAACAAACTATGGGACATAAACACAATGGAATACTATGCAACAGTAAAGAAAAATGAAGAATACATGAAACATAACTTGGAGGACATTAGCCTGAGTGAAGTCAATTACAAAAGGATAAATGTAATACTGTTGTTATTGTTATGTGCCGTCAAGCAGACTATGACACAGTGACCACAGGAAAAATGGATCTAAATCCTACCCTATCTTGTGCCATCTTCATCATCTCTCATATATTTGAAGGATAGTTACAGTCACTGTTTCAATACATCTGATTGAAGATCTTCCTCTCTCATGATGACCATCCACCTTTCCAAGCATAATGTCCTTTTTCAAAGACTGGTCACTCCTAACAACATGCTGAAAGTATGTGAGATGAAGCTTCACCATTCTGGCTTCTAGGGAACACCCTGGCTGCACCTTGTCAAAGACATGTCTGTTCTTTTGGCAGTCATGGGATGTTCAGTACTTCAACACTACAATTCAAAGGCATTGATTATTTCCTTCTGTCATCCTCATTCACTGTCCAGATACATAGGAAGCAATGGAAAAGACCATGACTTAGAGATCAAGCACACCTTAGTCTTTAACCTGACATTTTTCTTCTTCAGCAAGCAAATTTTCCCAGTGCAACATATTTCTTCATCCAAGAAAGATGTAGTCACTGACAACCTCAATCCTTTCTCTCTCTATTATGATACTGCCTACTGGTCCAATGTAGAAGATTTTTGTTTTCTTTATGTTGAGGTACAATATATATTGAAGGTTGTATGGAGTCTTTTTTACCTTCTAGGGCAAGCATTTTAAGTTCTCCTCACTTTCAGTAAGCAAGGTTGTGTCATCTGCGTAATACAGATTGTTGATGAGTCTTCCTCGGATCCTGCTGCCATACTCTTTTTAATAAAGTCCAACTTCTTGAATGATTATTTGCTCAGCATACAGACTGAAAAGCTGTAAAAGGATAAAGCCCTGACACACATCTTTCCTGATCCCATGGAGTTTTCCTGTGATCTGTTTGGATTACAGCTTCTGGGTCTAGGTACAGATTTCTCATGAGCACAATTAATGTTTTAGGACCCCATTATTCTCAATGTTAGCCATAATTTGTTATGATCCACACAGACTAATGTCTTTTAATAGTCAATAAAACACAGAGAGACATACTTCTGGTATTCTCTGTGTTCAGCCAGGATCCATTTAACAACAGTAATTACAACACAGGTGCCACAGCTTCTTCTAAATACTATTTGGATTTCTGGAAATTCTGTATCAATGTATGGATCTAGTAATTTTGAAATCACCTTCAGCAAGATTTCATTTGCATATGCTATTAACTATATTGTTTTATAGTTTCCAAATTCTATTGGCTCACCTATTATGGGAATGGTAACAAATATGGATCTCTTCCAACCAGCTGGCCAGGTACTGATGGGTTTCTCATCACCCTAAAATTTCATTAGGAGAATTATATAGTTACCCTAGAAGTTCATGCTATTTTCTTCTGTTATTGTCATTAGGTGCTGTTGAGTTGAGTATAACCCATAGCAACCATGTGACCAACAGGTGTGAACCTTGTCCCATCCTGTGCCATTCTAAACATCTCTGACACACTTGAGCCCATTACTAAAGTCACTGTGTCAATCCATTTGGTTGAGAATCTTCTTGTCTTTCAATTATCCCCTACCTTTCTAAGCATGATGTCCTTGGCCAAGATAGCCTCCCCTAGCATTATACCAAAAGTATGTGTGACAAAGCTTGGCTATTCTTGTCTTCAAGGAACACACTGGCTACACATTCATCAACACATATCTGTTTTTTTTGACAGTCTGTGAGATATGCAGTACGTTTTTCAACACCACAGCCCAAAGGCATCAATTCTTCTTCTGTCATCCTTAGTTATTGTCCAGCTCTCAGATGTGGACTGAAAAGACCATGACCTGAATTAAGTGCACTTCAGTCCTCAAACTGACATCATTACTTCAACTGACATCAATAATGTGGAGAAGTCCCTGACTGCAGACTGTAGCTGTGCAATATGTCTCCTGACTGACTTCTAGTTCAAAGGGTGTTAGCTGTGGATCCAAGTAAGATGAAGTCGTTGACAGCTTCAATCTTTTATTCTTCTATCATGGAGTTACAGGCAACAAAGATATTACATACACAATCCTGCAATATTAGTAATAACAACAACAATCTCTGAGTGGATAAATAGAATAGAATAGCAGACAAGAAAGTTATGGGTAGATGAATGGGACCATAGCCATGATCATATACATGTTTGGCAGAGGATATTTCAACATATATTTGTATGTGCTATAAATATATTGAAGCATATGGAAGAACAAGTAACAATAATGGAAACTTCTTCATCATAAGCAAATACATTGAAGTAATGAAGCACTGAGTTTGAGGGCTTATGAGCTATAGGCAACTATGTCAATTGGCACAACACAGTTCATGAAAACAATGTTCTACGTACTAATATGGTGAGTAGTGACTGGGGTCTTAAAAGTTAGTGAATTCCCTGCTCACCTAGCATGCACAGATGTATGCATCAACAGGGAAGAGCTGTTGGCTTGAGAACCCCTGGCCTGTTGATTCAACTTGGCCCCATGTAGGGGCTAAGGTAAAGTGAGGAGACGAAGCAGTCTGGAATGTAGGAAGAAATATAGATTCCTGAGCTTAAAACTGATGCCCACTTACACCTAGCCACAGATGGCTGGGGATGAGTTGATTGGAACCTACCCAGATGAGACAATCCACACTGTGAACTGGGGTTGACTGCTGCAAACTGATGGCTTACTCTGGACTGAACAATGCATATGGATGCAGATTCTCAGTGTTCAAGTTGAACAGAGGATCCTTAAGGAAATGTGATGTGCTCGTTTCCTTTGAGTACTGGTTTGAAAGCGATTGGCATATCAGCAATTACCTAGCTAAAAGGGGAATCTTAGGGAATGAGGCATGAAGTAGTTTTCACAAAAGTAGTTACTGGTGGAATGACTGTAAGAGAAGAAAAAAAGCACCGCACAATATAAATAAACGAAATATAATGTAAATGAAGGACTGCATGGAACACAATGTAGATGAGTGATAAAAATATTAACCAAAACCAATAATATGCATTTAGAACAAGATAAGGCAAATAATAATGGTCAGACTTCGATGAAAGTAACTCGGATCTGATATGCTTCTGAGAGCATAGTTTTCAAGCAGTGGGCAGAAGAGAGGGCACAGCACAAGAAGGCTTCAAATTAAAGGAAAAAGTGAGCTTGATGGCAGGAACAGAAAGTCTTGGTTAGGCACTATTCAGACTCCCCTTTGTACATGTTGGCAATAAAGTTTCTTCCCCCCTGCCCCTTTTTTTTTGTAAAGCCAGTGAGTTGCTTTCTAGGGTACAACTATTGGTGTCTCTCCATCCAGAGCAAAGAAAACAAAGAAAATAATGTGTAGAAACAATTAGTCCAAAGGAGTAAAGGACCACAAGATAACCTCTTCCTCTAAGGCTGTGAGATCAGAAGAGCTAGTGCCCAAGTACCACAATCCGCTACTGGATTGTGAAAGGAGTTACAACAGAAAACTCAAGGTAAGAGTGGAAGAAAAATGTGGAAATAAATTAGAAATCTTAAGAAAGATCAAGCTTACTGCTCTGAAAGAGACTGGTGGAACCCCCGAGACTCTGATCCTTAGGTACTCTTCAAGTCTGGAAATGAACTCACCCCAATATCTCTACTTTCAGCTAAACAACAGACAGGCCTGTACAGTGAACGGTAACAACAGAGAAGAATGCACTCTTAGAGCAATAAATCATAAGAAATAAAAATGGAAGCATTTGACAAGGGATAAAACTAAAAAGGCAGGAAGGAATGAAAGAAAAAGGAATAGAAACAGGAAACACAGAGCAGAAGAAGGAAGAGTGGTACCACATTGTGGGAACTGTGACGAAAAGCATGAAACAAAATGTGTATGCATTACTGGATGGACTCCATCTGCTCTGTAAACTTTCACTTACATCTCAATACAGCATAAGAAAAAAGTGTACACTCACCACCATCAGTCATGCTGCTGCCTTTTTCTTCCATTTCTTGTTTTACCTTTTCCAATTCTTCTGTAACCTTCATTGGAGGGAAAAAAAGTTTTTAGGAAGTTGTTGTTGTTACGTGCAGTCAAGTCACCTTCATCTCATAGCGATCCTATGCACAATAGTTCTCAACTCTGTCCTACCCTGAGCAAGTCTCAACTGTCTCTGACATACCTAACTCCAGTTACTGAGTCAATCCATCTCAACTGTGGTTTTCTTCTCCTGCACTGTCCCTCCACTCTTCCAAGCATAATTCTTTCTCCAAGGACTGGTCTCTCCTGACAACATGCACAAAGTATGTAAGACAGCTTCAAAATTCTTGCTTCCATGGAGCAACTTGGGTTTCACCCTCTCTAGGACAAACCTGTTTCTTCTCTTGGCTGGCCATGGGATGTTCAATGCTCTTCTCTACCACTATAGTGAATATTAATAAATTCTCAAAAGTTTTGATAGTAAATGAAGAAAAATTTAAATATTGAACATATATAAAAGAATATGAGCATATTAGGGATGATGAAAATTACTTGAATAATGAGACAAAATTTACTAATATTCAAAGCTTTTCCTTTTTTGAGAATTAACCTAAGCTTTCTCAGGTTCTATGCAACATGACTACATAAAAATTATTATTAAAATTCTTTTTTTAGCCCTAAGTACTTAAGCCTTTCAATTATTTTACAGTATCTAACATCTCATTCTTTAATTATCAGTTATTATTTAAAAGAAATAAATGAAACAGTAAAAACATCCTAAAAAGATTTTGGTTTTCTAAAGGTTTAGTTGGTATCTTTCTAAATACTATAGTTTTATTTTGTATTAGTTTGCAGCACACAGAACTCATATACATTGTTTCATTCATATGTATTGTGTCTCATACATTCCTTCATTCACATTGTATTTCATATCATCATTCCTATACATTGTGTTTTATAAAATTAATCACCATTTATCTATGCGCACTCTTACCCCATTCAGGTCCCCACTGGATCTTTCCTAATTCCTTCATCCCTTCCCTCTGCCTACCAAATGCTGTGATTCCATGACTGCCCCTTCCCCAAACTCAGACTCCCTTCCCCCTTGGACTTTTATACACATCTTTCTATTTTTACAATAATAATCTTATGCAGTATTTGTCCTTATGAGTTAATTTATTCAACATCCAGACTTCTCCTTATTACACAATACTTTTCAAAATGTTGTTCTGTACCGTCGAGTTGCCTGCAAATCATAGCGACCCTATGTACAATACCTCTAAACCCTGTTCTATCCTGTCTCATTGTCTCTGACACACCTACCCCATCACCCCAGTCACTATCAATCCATCTCATCGAGGGTCTTCCTTATTGTGCTGTCCCTCCACCCTCCCTAGCATGACGTCCCTCACCAAGGACTGGTCCTTCTTTGCAACATGTCTAAAGTATATCAGATGAAGCTCCAGAATCCTTGCCCTCCAGGGAGCAACCTGGTCTTACCCTCTCTAGGATGAACTTGTTTGTTCTCCTAAGCAGTCCATGGATATATTCAATACTCATCTCTAGCACCACAGCTCAAAGGTATCAATTCTCCTTCTATTATCCCTCGTCATTGTCCAGCTTTCTGATGCATAGCAAGTAATTGCAAAGACAATGGCCTGGATCACGCACACCTTAGTCTCCATACTAACACTGTTGTTCTTCAGTACTTTGGAGAGATCTCTGACAGCAGAGTGTCCCAATGCAATTTGTCTTTTAATTTTCTGGCTGCTAGTATCTAGAATGTTCATTGTGGAGCCAAGTAAACTAAAGCTGTTAACAATCTCTTCACCATCCATCCTGATGCTGCCAATTGGCCCAGTGGTGAGAATCTTTGTTTTCTTGATGTTGAGCTTCAATCTGTATTGAAGCCTGCAGTCCTTGACCTTCTGCAACAACACTTCAGGTC